TGAGAAATGAGCAAGATATGAGGTCTCAAAGTTGGTGTCTAGGAAAAAAAAAGAATAATAAGAATAATCTTAACCATCAGAATCAGTAGAAGGTCTTCCGCCTGCAGCGGAAGACCTTAAATATCCCCCCTCGTATAGATATTCAAAGTATCTGAAAATCTCATTTTTTCAACTTTTGGGGATGTTACCATGGCAAACAAGACAGCAGCCATATTTTATTTGATGAATGTCTCTTGTGTGAAATAATTGATGGGCAAATTTCATAAAAATCAATGATCACAGGTGCCAAAAACTTTAAGTGGTTACAGAGAATATCTCTAAAAATAATTTCACTCACATTTTCTGCTTCTTTCTGTTTGCCTACTTTCTGTATTATTCTTTCTCAAACTACACCTTCTGTGTAATAGAATTATAAAAATAACAATAGCACTGTGTTTTCAAATAAATTAGATTTAGGCATTAATTAAATATCTTGATATTAAAAAAATAAGTTTCGAAAGAAAATGTACCTTCTTAAAGTTAGAATCAATACTGCAACTAGAAGACCAGCAATAACAAATCCAACAATCCCGCCAATGACTGCATCAGCATTGACATAACTACTTATCATGGAAGAAGTTTCCTGAAAAAAAAAAAAAAACAATTGGGAATATGCCCCAATCTATTACATCAGCTGAGTCAAAGGCTTGAGTTAGCTTTTATGATCAAAATTTAGCCGCTACGTCTTTTCTGTCGTTGTCGTCGTCTCAAAATCTTCACATTTGATTTCTTTTCAAGAACCACTGGACCACTTACAACCACACTAGCCACAAAGTATCTTTGGTTAAGGGGATCAAACTTTTTTTTCAAGATGAAGAGCAACGCCATCTTTCAAGGGGAGAAAATTTGGATTTTGTGAAAATTTATTTGCATCTTTCAATATTCTTCTAGTCAAGAACCACTGGACTCGATGAGATGAAACTTCCATGCAAGCTTCAATTCATAGGGTAGATCCGAGTTTGTTTAAATCAGGATCCCCGCTAATGCATGTAGATATAAGGTTGAATTTCAAAAGGGGATCAAAGTTTTAAATAGGAATGTATAGGAATGAATCTTCAGAAGATGTCTGAAGAAGAACAGTAAAGCCCTTATTAGTCATAAAAATGTTGACCCATCCTTATTTCTCAGATAGTGTAGATTCATGACTCCAAGAATGCATAGGAATTAATATTTAATATTTTAAAACTTTCTCGAGGACAGTGAAGCCCTGCTTAATCATATTAATGTGGAGTCATCCTACGGTAGTGTAATTTCAGGTTTGTAGAAATCCTGACCCCGGAGGTAGGGAGGGATCCAGGAGGTACTGATTTTTTTTTTAATACGAATAGGTCTGTATTAGAAAAAAAATATATAAAAGATCTTCTTAAGTACAATAGATCCATGATCAGTCATATTAATTCGGGAGCATTCTCGGATATCGTAGGTGCATGTTTATTAAAATCATGACATCATGACACAGGGGGTGGGGGGATTATTGTGGAAGCACAATAGTAAATAAATTTTTTACATAGGAATATCCTGGGAAGAATCCACTGATAAAAGAGAAAAGGGTTATTGTGACTCAGGCAAACGTTGTGGACCATTGACCTCCCATTACTTCTCATTCTTCAGTATATGATGACTGTATATATTAGTTTAAAAAGATATCAAAAATGCAGTGAAAAGATTATTTCGTGTAATGTTTTAAAAAAGTTCGTTTGAAAATAGTATATATATTTGTATTTCTTAGGAAGTTTTTAATCTCCTCACCAGAATCTAATAATTTTTATTACCGTGTTCTCAGGGCAATATCCATTCACTGGGTCACATGTATTATTAAAACATCTCATGCTGCAGTTTTTCAAACAGTCAAAACTGTATGTCCCCGGCGTACATTCTGTAAGAAATTCTTTTTGGGTGCAATGTAAATGTAGATAAAGAAACGATACATTTTTGAGCTAATCACTTCGTTAGGAAAAACAACAATTTCTTGTAAGGAAATTGATATTACTCCAATCTCAATAATTCAAAATGTAAGATATATTTAAGGAATGTGTTTAAGTTTTGTGTGAGTTATTGCAGTGAAAATCACACAGACTTGTACGTAGGCATATTTTTTCATGAAGCGCTAGCGCTTCCCTTGAAGACACCCCTTGAAGTCTGTGTGATTTACACACCAATTATTAACTCTAAGCTTAAAAACATTCCTTATATTTACATTTTACATGTTCAAAAGCACCAAAAATATACTCAATGTTTGAATAATTCGCTGGCCTATTCCTTACACATTTATTCACGTCTCGGTAACTCACTGTGACGTCACTTTAGCGCGAGTTTCTCTGTGCATATTTCTATGCGTGAGTATACACGAAAATGACATTCAAATCAATTTCACAGTTGGCTTAGTACAAAAACATAGCAAATGTAAATATATGATAATAATCACCAGTTTCACAATGTCTTCCTTTGTAACCTTCCTTGCATCCATTTTGGCATGTTCCGTTGATGTGTTGACATTTTTCTGCATTACGACATTGACCACATGACTGAGTACAGTTTATACCATACATATTCCTGGAGCATTCTAAATAAGAGATAAAATACAGTACCAACCAGACCCAACCTGACACAAAGCAGTCCCAGAGCAGTCCCGGGGACTGCTTTCTGGGACCGCTAAAGCAGTCCCACAGCGGTCCCAGAGCAGTCCCAAAGCGGTCCCACAGCAGTCCCAGAGCAGTCCCACAGCGGTCCCAGCAGTCCCAGCGGTCCCAGAAAGCAGTCCCAGCAGTCCCAGAAAGCAGTCCCAGCAGTCCCAGTGGGCGGGGTTAATTAATTTAATGGGCGGAGTTTACTCAGAATGAGATTACCAATAAACAATGAAACTATATAAAAGGCAGTTGAAATTGATGAGCAATTCTTTCTGAATAGTATCAACAAATATTTACAATTCTTACGCGACAGTCATTTCTGAACTGTTAAGAAAATCACAGTACGCGTATAGAAACAAATTATAATTATTGAATGAAGAAGACGTTCACACCTATTAATAACATGAACATATTTATTTTTTTTATATATAGAAAATTAAACTTGAATTGTTTATTTTATACCAGAATTAGCTTTAAATTGATAATAATAATTATAGAGCATGGCCGATTCCCATATTATACTCTGAATGCATTTTTCTTAAGTATTGGAGCTTTTGAAAAATTCTTCGTTAAACATTGCCAAGTATTATATTTCAGTCATGATTATTTTTTAATGACTTCCCAATTTAATTATCTTAAGATTCTCAGTTTTAAGTGTTTTATTATATAAATGTTCGAGTGTACATCTGTAAATCACGCAAATGGAACCCTAAGATTATGTTCAAAATTAATAAATCCCGAAATAAATTTATACACAATTATTGAAACTAAGATTTTTTGCAGGACATAGATTGAAATTAGTGTCAATGTTGACCAGCGTGTTCAGTGATGTGTAACACTGATACCCAAATAACATGCATTGACATCCTGTTAATTATGCCCAAAGGCGATTGAAACCTCAGGTGTTGACACCATTTTATACAATCCCATTGTATTAACCGGCCAGGTAAACACAAACAAAAGAAATAAGAAACAAGTCACAATTCCCGATATTTTCAAATGTTTATTTTTTAAATAAATGTACCCTTTTAATAACTTGTTTATAAATTAAAAACTAATTCATAAATAAATCCCCGAATAATTGTTCACATTGTTTATGTGACAGAAGAATGGTAGAATAATTTTATTTCATGGTCATTAAATAAATTATTAGGTTTTATTTGAGGGTGGTAAAAAATAGCATGGAGTGCTCTTTTTTAAGCATTGTATTAGCTTTTTCAATTAAGAAAAAAAATCCAGTACAGTACGTTCCTCTGAAAACATGTATCATACTGAAATGACAAGTTTGTTTGTTTTTGTTTGTTTTTTTTAAATAGTGCTAATGCAAACTTTGAGTACATATGTAATTTGACAGCATTAATTTATTAAATAGGCCTAGATATTTTTTTTTTCAAACACCTGTATTGAAGTTTAATTTAAGGGATAAAAATCATCCCCTGACTTCCCTTTTTAATTACTTTTATTTTCTTAAAATTAATTCTAGACCACAATTGTGTAAATTTACAGCCCTCTGAAGACATTTAATAATTACATGTATAACTATCTCTATTTATTTAATTTTTGTTAGAAATTAATACTTGTTTTTTTATATTTGTTTTTATTTTAAACACCTCTCTGCAGAAAGTAAACAAAACAACAACAAGGAGTGCAAATTCAGAATACACAAGGGGCGGAGCTATCATGTCACTCAGAACCTTTTTCACGAATGAGTGAACAAAGCAGTCCCAGAAAGCAGTCCCAGGGACTGCTGGGACTGCTGGGTCTGCTTTCTAGAGCAGTCCAACAGCAGTCCCAGAGCAGTCCCACAGCGGTCCCAGAGCAGTCCCACAGCAGTCCCAGAGCGGTCCCAAAGCAGTCCCGGGGACTGCTTTCTGGGACTGCTTTGGTATCAGGTTGGGTCTGGTTGGTACTGTAGTCTTCATGAAATATTTTAAAAATGTTTGCCGGGTTTGTATTGTACAATGAATATATTAGGCTCCAAGGGACGAAGTATTGCCAGACGCGGAGCGGGATGTGTATGCGTGTGTGTAAACAATACTTGAATTGTTATACAGTGTATGAAAAACAAAAATGAAAGAGTCTGTGTTTTCTATACTGTAGCTTTGAAATTCTCACCAATATCGAAATCTTCTAACCAGAATGGGTATCCATTCTTATAAATCTAGGGTTACCGTTATCCGTGCGTTGCTTCATCTGTTTTGAGGGGCTGGGGGGGGGGGGGTTATCATCTTATTAAATATTTTAAAAGAGATCATTAGAATCATTTTACAAATGTATTTTCTTCAGTTGATTTTCATAATCATAAACTCGCTATCTTTAGAATAATTTCAAGTTTTAAGCTTTAGAGTGTTTTAGTTCAGGGAAACTGCTTAGGCAAAAGTTATTACTATTTTTGCATTGAAGTCCTTCCCAACCAGGTTGACATCCACCCTCACATTCCCCTTTCTCTCTGCTACATTTGTAAGGCGCACCGCAGTTTTCACTACACTTTTCTTTACAGTTTCTTCCAAAGTCTCCACTCGAACAACCTAACATAATATTTAAAGTATGTGTCATATAATCTGAAAATGAAATATTCTCATAGAGTTTTTCGTTCGTGAGATTTACAAAATATATTGATACACAATAAATGTACCAGTGTTACAAAGTTCTCCCTTATACCCAGCTTCACAGCCGTGCAAACATGACCCATTGATGTGTTGGCATTGTTTGTGATCTTTACAAGCTCCACAGATCTCCTCACAACCATCACCATATGTCTTATTACCACATTCTATTAAAGTAAAATTAACAAATAGAGCTATACAAAAATGAAATAATTTTTCAAAATTGGTAATTTTTAATTCTTTAATTTTTATGGTTGCAAAAAGAATAATTTTGTGTTTAGATGTTTAGAAAATTATCATCAGATATTTATTCTTTTGAAAATATATTTGAATGAATAAGAAATAATCATTTTCAATTTAAATGTCAAGAGCATTTTAAAAGTATAAAGAGTCATTACATTTGATATGCTCTGGTTAGAAAGAAACGGATTTCTTTTTCACAGATTCTTCTATTTCTTTTGGAAGTTCTATTCATTATTTAGGTGGCCAATGTAATGTCACATAAAACAAGGCATAAGACAGTTTACTATATGCGTAACAATAAACACATAAGTGCATATAAATGGACATTATAAGAAGGAATTATGTTTTTCTGGATTCTCGATCTGTTTTTCTCCCGCCTCGAAAATTAGTAGCCCTTTTTTCACAAAAGAATTCCTAAGAGTACTTCTTATTGTAAGAGAAAAATTACTATTCTTTTCCTCTTGAAGTCTTCAATATACTTATGTGTAAGAATCATATAAATCACAATAGTTCGTACATCCGATAATTATTTCAAAGCCGTCAATTATGTAAAATAGATCGGAGAGAAAACAAAATGTACGTTCAATTCAACATTTTTACGCATCTTACTTCATAGTATTTCAAGCTACATATGAACTATTAGTTCAATTTAAACTTGATTTGCCCATGCAATAATAATCAGCACATTTCAAGCTACATAATGATGCTGATTTTGAAGGAATCATATACACTATGACACAGAAAAATGACAATTTTTCAAAAGTATTTAAATTATAGAATAGTTCTCGATTCAAGCTATATTACATTAAAATATTACCTCAAACCTACAATTACATATAATTTTGTTACATGTAGGCTGCAAACCTGATGAAATCCAGAATATGATTTTTTTTTCTGATAATGTTGTAGCTGAACAGCAAAAATATCATCACTCGGTCTTATGAAGACTAATTTAAGAATAGAATATTAGAATTCGTCAAGGTCTGCAACATTTTTTCTTAACTACAAGAATTGTTGAATATATTACCATGTAATCATTGTATTTAAACTTGATTTTGACCTTATAATATTGAAATTAACAAATGAACTCAATGCTGCAGTTATACTTGAAAATAAACACGTGATTTCCACATCACGTGACTGTTTTTATTTTTCCTACCGACCTAAAATGTATTTTATCCCATGTTATGCTTGTGTATATTGAGAATGTTTTAGAAAGAAACACACCCTTGTAATGTAGGATGTACTTTATCACAAAAAATTACCAATATTTTTATAATGCATAGTGAGGATATTTTTAGAAAAATATTTTGCTCATAGAACTAAGAGAGATTTTCTAAGAGAGAAATGACATCTAAATAAATTGTCTTTGATTTTTTTTTTTTTTTTTTTTTTTTTTTTTTTTTTTTACTTACGCAGTTCACACTGATGTCCCTTGTATCCAGGTTTACATCCCTGACAAGCACCTGTTTCTATATGACAATAACGACAGTTTGTGTCTGGACAGGGGAGAGAACAATTTGATCCATAGTATCCTGTTTTCTTGCAGCCTATAGGTAAATGATACGTAATTTTATTTATAGACGATCTGTTTGGTCATGTGGGAATATATAAATTATTATTTTTTTAATTATTTTTTCTATTTTACATTTTCTGGATCTGCTTTGCATCGCATTTCTAGATGAATAATACTTGAAGCTTAATGTTCTCTATTATTGCGGGTATATTAATGGAACAACCAGGTCGTTTCCTGAGAAATATACACATGTTTTAATATAAGTTCGATAAATTATAAAGCTATTCATAAAAAAAAAAACTATAATCATTCAGAAGGCAAAGAAACCGAACAGTAATCAAATCATAAATCCAATGACCAAAACGAATTGTGAACAGAGCAAAAGCATGAACCCACTGAAACACCTTGAGTGGGATTAAGAGCCTAGGAGGAGTGAATATCCTTTGTCGACCGGTCTCACTCGAAGAGAGCCCTATTGTTATGATCAGGTAGACAGAGTTCTAAAATTTAGCATGAATCATATAACACATTTAAGGAATCACTAGATTTCTACTGTCCTGCGCATGAAATAATTATTCCACAATTTCTCACGAAACTTCAACCATTTTTATAGTTTACATAGAAAATGTGAGGATGTTTATCATACAAATTTAAAAGCAAGTTCAACATTTTGCAGATCAGGAACTCTGAACGCTGGATTCGTCTTGTTTTAAAGTTTCCGGTATATTATTGGATTATTTTTAATCTGATTGTCAAGAATTAAAGAGAAAGCGCTGAATAGGCTTGCCTATGGTCATTAAAAGGATTAATTGATAAGATAACGCTAGTAAGAAAAGACTTTCAGAACATGAAAGTGTTTTCTGTGCTTTCACTTCCCTTAGCTACAAACATGTGGCATTATAATGGAATGTGACGTCAATTCACTGCAGATTTTGATCTGATATGATGGAGAAAGATTGTCATAAATTGTACACTTTATTTCAAATTGTATGCTAAATAAACTTTAGATCAATATTGTAAAATTCACACCATTTTATTGCTTTCTTAAGGGGGGGGGGGGGGGTTCTATGTCTAAAAAGTCTTTGGGTGAAAGTTTTGGAACTTTTATTTTTTTTTTTTTTTAATTATCACTTTCTAAAAAATTCATCTAATAAAAAGTATATCATTATATGCTTAATTTCATGCAGCGGCTTGTGCAAGAAAATACTTATAAGAAATGCTAGGAAAGCATTTATTTTAGTCCCATCATTAAAAATAAAATGCATTAAAGTTTGGTCAAATTGCTAAAAAAAAAAAAAAAAAAAAAAAAAAAAGAAACATTTATCTTAATTTTGATTCTTTAATCTTTAAAATGATAGCAAATTTTCTGGAAATTATGAATCACAAAAAAGAAATAATCTTTTGTATTTTGATATCCCAAAAAGTGTACTTTTAAATGCAAATAAATCTAAATTAATGAAAAAATATTTAGTTTTTATCCTACTCTTTGGAAAGAGTGGACTTTTCTGCACTACGATATCACTAATTCAACATTCATTAACAGACAGATCTAAAAGTACACTTCTCATGAAAATATATTTATTTCTTTTAATCTAATGATTATCTGCATATTCTTCTTCACCCTTTAACAATAGTCCTACTGGACACGTTATTACTGGTGACGTAAATATAGTTAATAATGAGGACCTTAACTCAATAATTTTAAAAGGTCCTAAAAATAGGAAACCCGATCCTTTAACTGGCGTCGTAATTTCATACATTTTTTGGATTCTGTACAGGATTACGGCAGGCGTTGGGTCAGACATGAAAAAAGACACTTTCAGAATGGATTTAATGCGCATGTGAGTTAAAGCTAGGTATAGGCGTTTCTATGCAAATGAGCTCATAAAAACGCATAAGGGGTATATTAATTATTCAGAGAAAGTTTTGATTTATTTTCTTATGCATATTTAGTACCCATGATATGTTATAGCCAGTAATCATTATGACGTCATATTATGACGTCATTGTTCTTACCTACTGGAGGCAATAAAACACACAACAAAACAGCCTCGGCGCAAGGGATTACCCTATTTAATTTTACATAAAAATTGTATAATGCTAAGAAGAATATTCTGTAGATAAATAAAACTGCTGCACAAATCCTAGGTATTATAATCTCATTTGATCAGAATTTGAGGAAAGGTATACCGGACTGTGCATTTTTACCCTGATTCAACTTAAAACTTTACAAATAGAAATTATACAACTGAGCTGTTGATATTTGTGCAGCAATACCCGCAATCTTTGAAATATTTTGCTTCTAAATATACCATGTTTCAGTTGAATAAAATAGAGCATGCCCTTGCGCCGAAGCACTTTTGTTGATGTCCATTATAATCTTGTGTAGTAAAGAACTATGACGTCATAATATGACGTCATAATGTGTACTGGCTATCTCGTGTCTTGGGTACCAAGTATGTATTAGACAATAAGTTTCAACTTTCTCTGTATAATAGATATAGCCTTTAGTCATTTTAATTAGTTTATTTGCATAGAAATGCCTATACCTAGCCTTAACTCACATGCGTGTATCAGATATATGTGAAAATCTCGCATTAAACGGTTGAGGGGCGTGTTAAAACCATCTATTCTTCTGTATTCAATAATTCAGAAGTGAAAAAAAAAATAAGATAGATTACACGATGAGTACGTACTGGTCCCTGCTGACAAAGCAGGTAACAACATTGTCTTTGTTTTCAGAGGAACTAGGATTAAATTCCACAAGTGGTAATCCAATTTATATCCATAGCTCCCTTTCTAAGGAGAAAATTCTTCAAACTCAGTTGTCAGTTTTGAATAATCTTAATATTTCCAACAACCAAAATGAATTTGAATTCCATATCTTTATTGGATTCTGAAACTTCATAAAAATCATAACAAACAAAGATGCATAGCGGGTTCCAGTAAATGTTCTACTAAGCCTCTTTTTTTACTCCTCACTAAGATAATAACAGTAGTGAATGAGAAACTTCAAGAGTACTGTGAAACAAGATATTGGAGAAGTGGTGTAAATCTGATGTGCATACTAAAAAATTCCAAAAAACTTATGGAACATTTGAAATCACAAAATTTTACAAAAATCATCAACATCAAAACCTACGACTTTTCAACTTTATATACAACTATTCCCCACGATAAATTAAAGTCCAGAGTTTCTGACGTCGTTTACAACTGCTTTTTCAATAAAAATTGAACTGGTAAATTTACTTTCCTTTTCATTGGTCATTTGCAAAAATTACCTTGGTAATAAACAATCTGATTGTATACACAAGTACTCTGAAGTTGTCATTAAAAAAGATGCTCGAGTTTCTGATTGACAATACTTATGTGGTTTTTGGAGACCAGGTCTTCCAACAATCTATTGAAATTCCCATGGGTACCAATTGAGCCCCTTTATAAGCAGACCTATGTTCGTATTCATATTAAACAGAATTTGTTCAAAATCTTTTACGTAAAAAGAAGAAAACACTTCCTGTGGCCCTCAAGTCGACATTTAGATATATCGACGACTTATTGTCATTCAACAACGGTTATTTCCATTCTTATGTCGACACGATGTATCCTGGTGAGCTTGAGATAAACAATACCACAGAATCTGACACATCTGTTTCATATTTGGATATCTTATTAGAAAAAGACGTTCATGGTAATCTAACTACAAAGCTTTATGATAAACGTGATGACTTTAACTTTTCAATCGTCAACTTCCCTTACTCATGCAGCAATATACCCTCACCACCTGCATACGGGGTTTATATTTCTCAGTTATTCCGATACTCCAGAGCATGCTCTACGTATGAACAATTTCTAAAACGAGGTAAGTTATTGAGAAACAAGTTGATGACACAAGAATATCAGCAGTCTCGTTTAAAGTCACCATTTCGTAAGTTCTATGGTCGAAACAATGACCTTGTCAGCAAATACAATCTTTCATTAAGTTAAATGCTGACTGACGTTTTTCATACTAATTGTAAGGCCATTACATATACACTGAATTGTCGACGGATTTTTCCGTTATTTTCATTTTATCATGACAAGGAGCACACTGCGGCTGTGACATATCTGCGGGGGATACTCACTCCTCCATTACACCTGATCCCACCTCTGATGCCTCAGAGGTCCCTGTTTGATCTGCTCCTGTAATGTTTAATGGACATTTGAGCTCTTATACTGTTCGTTATCTCCACATATTTCACTGTATAAATCTGTTTTTACGCATTTGCTTTACACCCCCTCCCCAGTGAACACGATCTACATGGTGTCCCAAAATACATGATACCATTTGAAATACCTACCACAATCACATCCCTTGACCAATTTCTTTGATGTATGTCTCTAAAAATATTTGAATAAGTACAATTTTTTAGCAACAAAATATTCCAAAAATATTCTCACACTTATGAAATTGCAAAGTATCAAATTTACATCAAACTTTTGCAAAAAACTGCAATTTCAATCAAAATAGATTATCAAAAGAGCAAGCTACTCTCATTTTGAAACTGTAATTATCAATCCTAGTCTTAGGTTACTGTTGCTAAACCCAAACCAAAATCCTTAACATATATAAAAGGTTTACCTCCGCTGAAAACCCAGAAGTTACTACCGAGACAGAGACTGTTGTCTCAAGTTGAGGAACTTTGTGCAATGTCTAGACATTATCATTATACAGATAGAACGTCATTTAAAGGGCATCATTTAAAAACCATATAGCATTTTTCAAAGTAAACTCATTTTTTTGTTTTCTTATTAATGACTGTCAAATTATGTGAATAAAATTGGACAGTATATGCAATGTTTATAATGCATTTGTTGTAATTCAATATTCATTACATTAGGTTTTACAGAATCTTGAAATGGTATCATATATTCTGGGACACCCTGTACAAATAGAAAATTGTTTGAAAACTTATCTACATTTTTTACATTGTGTATCATCAATTAACAATATATTCTTTTGCTTATATGATTAGCCGCTTTGAGCTCTGATGGCTGATTTTGCTCGGAATCAAACACCTTTAAACGATTGAAGCTAAATGTGTTTATATATATTTATCAAGAACAGACTATGACAAATTCTAAATCATATAGAGCTTTTATTTTCAAAATATATCTTTTTTGCAAGTTGTCAGAACAAATTTGGAATTCTTGTACAATATACGATGGAATTTCAAGCACAATGACTTGTATGTATATTTAAAAAAAATGCAAACGTCAACTGCACGTTTACACTTAAGAAAGTAGTAAAAAGACTCGATGCTCTTGTGACGTCATACATTGCTGCTCTGACGTTCGAACGACATAGACCCTCATCAACTGAATTTGCTTGGGGAAAGTATTTGTTGGCTTTGGCTTAATACAGATTACTGTACAAATTGGAAAGTACTAACAGATGTTTGGGTAGTTAAAAAATCCCATGAAATAGTTTGTACCCACCTTTTATTCCTAATTTCCCAAATACATTTCGGGTATACGGATACTAAGAGTTCATTTATATAACAAATGTAAATAATGATTGTTATTTACTTGCTTCGAATAGATTCATGAGCACCAATGAAAATATAATTGACTGTCACGAGATTTGCGAAGTGAAATTGATAAAACATATTATGCTATTATATTGCCAAGAAAACACTATATATCAATCGGCTGTAGTTAGGCACACATCTGACAAATTAAGGAGGAGCAGAACCTTGAGCTAAAAAAATCTAACTTTTTTTTTTTTTTTTTTTTTTTTTTTTTTTTTAATTAATTAATTAATTTATTTATTTTCATATTTCGTATTTTAATAATAGATGAGCCATTTTTTAAAGCAGTTCATTATTGGATTTTTGATTCCACACTGTACTGGATTGGATAAATTACTTATCACAACATCTTAATGCCAAAAAATCATCTTGGAAAAATAATAAAGATCCATATTAAAAAAAAATACGACTGAACCGAAGACCTTTATTTTAATAATTTACCTAAGAAAAAACAGAAGGTGAAGCTTACTTCAGTATTGTAAAACACATTGCAAGTGTAATAAAACCTTCACGTTTACGTTTACAAAATACGGGAAAAATATGACATCATACAAAAGCATTCGCTATAAAATATTCATATCATATATTAAAGATATAATTCTAAAGAATTTACGCTAACATCCAAGCATAACCTATGATTGTGTTTTCTATTTTACAAATAACTTCTATATGTGCTGATAGTCACCTGTTTTATATAATAAAATTGACCATTTAATCAATGCGTATTCGATCTTGCTGCACTAAAATATTATGTATAACGTCAATGACTTTCTAAACGTGCAATATAGAGGAAACGGAGGAGTGGATCTTTTTTTTTTTTTTTTTTTTTTTTTTTTTTTTTTTTTTGATCAATTGTAAAATATTTTAAATCTTGAAAATATTTTTCTCATTAGATGATAAACCACGATAATTTCAATAAAAATTACACGACTACTGGTGATTTTTATAATGGTTAGCATCTATATTAAAAGAGATCATGGCATAGTCAATTGTGTCATGTTATATGTGTCCTACATCTCCTTAAAATCAAAACCAAGCTCGCTTTTCAAAATTATGTTTTGAACATATTTTAAAGCTTCGGGTAACCTCAACATCAAAATCAAGATTCCAACCTAACGGTAAATGTATTAATTTACATGCTGCCATGAGCAATTTTCTCGTTACCTCTCATATTTACTCGTTTAATATTAAATGACGTCATTGTGTATTGCGGTAACATATAGGTAATGTATTTGTTCGTTTGTATGTTGTTTAACGTCCCTCTCGAGAATTTTTCACTCATATGGAGACGCGGGAATGTATTTGAGGTAAGACAACAGAGAAAAGGTTCTCGTAATTCCTAGGCACCAAAATGTTTTATTACATATTCGAGAGTAAAATTCTGTAATTAATTTATTCATTGAATAAAAGAAATATTCTGTCCCAGTGTGAAAGAATTTCTAAGTGATATTCTGCCACAGTGTGAAAAAATAGCAGAAGTGCGGCTGAACTTATTTCTCTTCTCTTCACGGAGGATTTTCTTTTTCTTTTTTTTTTCTTTCTTTTTTTTTTTTTTTTTTTTTTTTTTTTGGTTTTGTTTTTGTTTGTCTCTTTGTTTTTTTTTTTTTTTGTAAATCCTCAATGACCTGCTATTACATAGAGCGTAAAAAAAAATACCATCCTAACAAAGACTGAAAGTTTTTCTAAATATATTCTTGGAATACATGTTTACAATGTTTAACCTCACAGTCACTACGCTATGACATCTCAACCGTAGAACTATGACACCACAGCCTATGAGACAGTGTTCCGAAAAGAAAATGCAATAATTTCAAAGAAAATGAAATAAACATAAAACTCAATATTCTGTAGTTGGATATGAAATTTATTTCACGAAAAGGATTTTTCGAAATTTTTAATCGTGCTTTGCACTCGTGAAAATATAAAAACATCCAATCCCACTTATGAAATAAATTTCTTATCCAACTACAGAACATTTTAAATCCTCTACATACAAAATGCACTTTAAAGAAGTCGATTTAAAAAAAAAAATAATGCACAAATCATAATAATAATAATAATAATAATAAGATCCCTACCATTGACCTCCACCTCACACAGTTCATTGTATGCATATGTGGAAAACTGGCTGGGATATGATGTCTGCTGTGGTCTATAATTATAGTAGATGACGTATTGTCCATGTACAACGCACTTTATATAGATGAAGGCTGGTATCGTAGCTTTAACGTAGTTTGGATTATGAAAACATAAACGAGCATCAACTCTGTTTGTTGTGTTAGAAACATATACAAAAAACCCCAAAAACCTTTCCGTGAAGCCATTGGATGTACCTTAGAAGAAAAGATTAAAAATGTATAGATTTGAATAAAACTATACCGTATACATTCATGTTACAGGCAATTTCTCCAAATTGTTTCCCCTTTTTTCATAAACGCTTTGTTCTACATGTATATAATAGCTAAAGTTCAGAAATAATTTTGACCAATAGTATTAATTCACAATGTGATCAGTCGCAGTGAAAATTTGAGCAACCTAATTATTTGTTTCAGGTAATTTAATTGTGCCGAAACAAGTTAATAAAAAAATGTTTAGTTTTTCTTTCAATCAAGATGCATTAACATAAGATGGTGTAAAATATTATAATGCAATTTCAAAAAGTGAGAAATATCAAACATCGTTTTGAAGTGTGTTAATCCTTTACAATCATAATGCAGCCTTACATTTTTTTTATTTGAAAAATTCAAGGAAAAAAAGATGTCCATATAAATAATACGGTTAAAACATGACCCTCAATGCAAACACTTCGGAAGGGGTTGGGATAAGGTGGGAGAACAATCGGCGATCAAAGTCTTTTTAAAGGAATAAATAATCTTTTCTCCCAAGAACGCAAAACCATGGTAAAACAAATTTAAATGGAAATCCTCAGGTAGTGTAGGTTCGAGATTGTTAAAATCATGTCCCCGGGAGGTATGAGTAGGTAGGGCCATAGTGGACGATAAGAGTTTAACATGTGAATGTATACATATGTAAACTTTAAAAATGTTCTCAAGAATAGCAGAGCACATTTGTCATATTTCGATGGTTACAATTGTAAGAGAGCGTGGATTCAAGTTGTTCCAATTATCCCCCGGGGTTAGGTTAAGTTCTACATACGATTATACATGTATCTAAAGAAATATAAAAAAAAAATGTGTTCAAGAACAGCAAAACCATAACTGGTCATATTTATTTGGTTGCATCATAAAGTAATGTAAATTCAAGTTTGTTCAAATCTTGACCCCCAGACGTAGGGTAGGGCCATAGCGAGCGACCAAAAGTTTTAACATCGGAATAACACCGTTTTAAGTTTTAACAACTGAATAAAGGAAAATAAGAAAAAAACATCTTTCCCAGAATAGCAAAGTCATGGTTAGATAATATTGATATTGAAGCATCCTCAAAATGTGGGATTCTACGGGTAATCAGATTTTGCATACATCGGGTATATAGGAAAAATGTTCTCAAGAACAACAAAGCCAAGATTAGTCATATTTATTTGGAAGCGTCCTCGGATATTTAGATTCCTCTCTTTCAAATCATGACCTCCGAGCTAGAGTATTTTCACAACTGGCTTTCAAAGTTTTTATATTAATATATCGAAAAAATATTTTGAAATTTTCTCAAGAACAGCAAAGCGTTGCACCGATGAGTCTAATTTGTGTAGAAGCATTCTTAATTTGTTTATGTTTAAGTATCTTTTAAATATAATTCACAGGGATAGGGAAGAGGCCACAATAATTGACCAAAACTTTAATTATGGCACATTGATGAAAATCTGCTAATAAAGAAAAAGAGGGTCATAGTAAGTGAGATGAGCGTTTTGCCCATGGATCTTTCGTTGCTAGTTTTCAAAAGTCCCCCTCCCACTTCTGACATTTTTGCATTTATTTCATATTTTATAACTATGTAGAGTAATGCACTTTCATGAGTAAATGACATTTAACACAAGATTGCTTTTATGTCAACCCAAACAAATGCACATTATTTAACTGTAGATTACTACACTTAACTATGGTAAATACTTTGATACTTTGATTTACTTTGAAGCTTTACTCCAGATGTTTGTGAGATTTCAAAGCCTAAAATCTTTTAAATTCAATATCAATGATGTAAACTAATGAATTAATTTGTGAAAATACGAGTAAAATTTCCATCTAATAAAAAGAAAATGCATGTATGAATTGAGAAACGCAAAATATACCAACTAAAAATCCATAGAAAAAATGTGCGAACTTACTTTAAAAAAAAAAAAAAAAAAAAAAAAAAAAAAAAAAAAAAAACCTTTGTTTTAATATGGCAAAATATTTAATATTATAGATAATAATAGTAAACTATAGTTTATTTTTTTTTATTCGGATAATTAATGTAATCTTACTCAGACTCTGACTATTTTGGTTTTGAATTACATGGATTGGTATTAAGACAAAATTAGACAGATAGACCTATATATGTCTGATTACCCCATGCTTTATTGCCCGTCCTGTAGTATATCCTAATATCATGGATACTATGGATGGAAGTCAGGTTAACCCACCATGTGGCAATATTGAACCCATCAGCAGATATGACACATTGTCCTCCGAAGGCTGAAAGATCGCTCTTCAAACCATCAACAGCGTTACTAGAATCAAATGTAGCAGGTGGATGATTTGGACTGCTATACGCGTGAGATTGTTGTGTTGGTTTATTCAAAGCTATATTATCTGAAAATGAGGAAATATCATTAAACTTGTGTTCAAATTATAAGTATCATTAAACTTCTGTAAGATATATATATATATATATATATATATATATATATATATATATATATATATATATATATATATATATATATATATATATATATATATATATATATATATATATATATATTAAAGGGTACCTGTACAAACAGCTGAAGAAGTGGATAAGATGTTTAAAAATGATACCAGATTTTAGGGCTTTGAATCTTATGAAGGTAAGTAACATCATTACAAAAGAAGTCGTTTAAATATGGAAAATGCTAGTATATCGAATAAGTATTTTTGTACCGAACATTTCGTCTTTTCAATTCGTTCCATACAAATAAAGTGTGGTCACAAAATTAAGCTAGACCTATTTTAGGGGAGTGGGGTACTGGAAGAGTAAGATTTAGTTAAATTTAAAGGTATGTTCCATTAACAAAAGAAATCTCAAAACAGCTACTTAGAAGAAATGACAATTTTTACTGCACTAACTAGATCTTTTGTCAGAGATTTTTGTGAACGAATGTTGTTCTTAAAATGCCAAAATGTACATTACTTAAAACACATCTTGTTTTGTTTTTAATTATGAAATTTCTATCATGAATAAATTTTCAATCATGAAAACAGAACTAAATTTAATTTTGAAAAATTAACAGTTCAATAAAACAGATACATAAATCGCTGCAATATCCAGTGAATTTGCTACAGTTTTGAGGAAGAGACTAATTTTTAAATGTGGTTATAAAGTGTCGAGAACATTATTGTTCATTTCGTAACTCTAGCAGTATTGTCTTAGTACGTTAGAGGTACCCAATAGAATGGGATAGGATATGTTGTACACGATATCTAGTTGAGGTATTAGAATAGAACTTGGAGGGTTAATGAATAATGATACAGGGTTCGCTATAAGAAAGGACTTTATAGATAGTAGTCCTGTAAATATCAGCGGCTCGATAGAAAAGAAATGACTGCCATTCAAGTCATACTGCTATAGAAAGAGGTTTTTATGTTTCGTCGTATTTGAGTTCATTTTAGGGCTGTGCTCCTAATGTTTTAAGCAGTTTAAGGTTAGCGGAGAATTCCACTGACAGAAGAATGTAGCCTTCAAATCCCTTTCAGTGGGTTTCTCAAGACTAACTGAGTTTGGATTAATTCATGTATCCTAAAGGCAAAATACATGTACTCATTTAAGAATCCTGACTTTGCTTTTAACTGAAGTAACTTCAGAACAAAATTCTAATCTTGCTGAATTTATTTCTTCGAAAAAACATTTGATAAATAATTAGATTTACACGTTGGTTCAGAATTTTGTTTTTCTACAGTCTTGAATGATATCACCAAAATATATTATATGATTATAATATAAAATTCTTCATCACTACTTATACTAACACATTTCATGTTTAAGATAAAAGTACAGTGTTCCATAAACGCATGTGGCTCCTGCTATAACATCATTAAAAACATTTTTAAAAATGCTTTTAAAATATTAAGCTAAATTATGCGTGCATTTATTTTTTTTTTTACATTTCAATTAACATTATAGTTCAATCAAAGAAAAACAATCCATGGATGATAGGATTGCGATAGGAAAGTACTTATAAAACCAAGAGGCCAATGGACCACGATGTAACTTTGAATAACTTTGGCCCTGTTATTCTTAAACAGATCCCCCCGGTAATGCTCAGTTTGGTCCCAACATATCCCCCTGGGGTGTCATGATTTGAGCAATTTAGAATCTACTCTACCCCAGGATTCTTCCACATAAGTTTTTTTTTTGGGGGGGGGATGGTTCTTGAGAAGACTATTTTTATCATGACCCGACCCAATTTTTGTCTTTTCTTCATTATTTTCCCTTATAATGGGGCTTGGCCCTTCAATTAAAAAAAATAATTTCCCTTTCGCCAAAAAATGCATTCTCCCGCGTGGCGCAGTGGTTAGAGGGTCTGCTCTAGAGTCGCGGAGTAAGGAGTTCATCCTTACGTCGCGGGTTCGAATTTCACTGCGGGACGTGGAGACCGGTCCTCCGGATGAGACCGTAAAAACGAGGTCACATTTCGCAGAAGGTGCTAGCACGAAAAAGATCCCTCACTGTTCATTGGTCCTAAGTGCCGAGTATAGGTTAAAATTTGTAGCCCTCCACCGGCAGGTGGTGGCATCTCCATATGAAAGAAAAATTTTCGAGAGGGACGTATAACATCAATCAAAGAATGCTTTCTAACAACTTTGTCTAAAATTGGCCCAGTGGTACTTGAGAAGAAGTTGAAAATGTGAAAAGTTAACAGACGGAGGGACAGCTAGACAGACAGACAGACAGACGGACGGACGGACGACGGACAACAGGTGATCAGAAAAGCTCACTTGAATTTTCAGCTCAGATGAGCTTACAAGAGGTTCATATGCCAAAACACTCACGTGAGTCAATATGACCCTGCTGTTCTTCACCAGCATATTTTTCCCCTTTTATACATTCCTATATAAAACTTTCATACCTGATGTGACCCCACCCTACCCCCAGGTGTCATGATTTGAACAAATTTGAATCTACATTTTCTGAGGATGCTTCCATATTGATATGAACTAATTATGGTTCTACGGTTTGTGAAAAGATGATTTTTAAACATATGTATTTATTAAAGGTTCGAATAACACGTGTTCGTGTTTATTTATATCTGTAATCTATTGGCTGTAATACTGGTCACCTTGTCAGGTGACATTTAAATATTCATTGCACGGGTTTAAACTGACTGTTGATACCGCTGAAAGTTCTATAGCCATTTTAAGGCTCTTTTTAGTGCAGATAACTGAATCCCCACCCCAACCCGTCCTTGCTTTACATGTTTAATAAGATTTTATATTAAAAATAATGTTTTTTTTTTTTGTAGGAAGGAAGACAAAGAAGAATTGAATATACATGTACATATGTTAATAGTAAACTGCACGTACTATCAGACCCTTCACAACCTAATATACGTGTTTGTGTTTATTTTATAAATTATTTATGTTCGTTTGAGTGGCAGGAATAAGAACATAATTATTCCTATATGTTCCTAAGTAAAACTTAGATGTTTGATCAGTCAAAAATTGCTCGATCCTACCCAAAACAGAACTTGACCTAGATATTCTTATGATAAATCTGTATACCAAATTTCATTTCAGCATGCGCAACCTCTGCGAAGAAAATGAACGGAAACTGTTGGTGGACCGACAGACAGACCGAAAGACAGACAGCAGCAAAGCAATATACTCTCTCTTTTTCGAAGGGGGTGTAAAAATATGCATGCTTGAGACCCAAATATTTAAATACCAGCTATGTTTTTTATACGAAAACCGTAACATGTTCGTATACTACATTACAATATTAATATCAAAGAGGATTAATATCAATGTTAAAGAGAACATATAAATATTCTAAGATTGTCAATCAACGTTTTAATTAATTTTCTAGATACGGTGCGGCATGGGGAGCATAAGCTTTTTTTTTTTTTTTTTTTTTTTTTTTTTTTTTTTTTTTTTTTGGATACGATGTAGCACGGTGTGCCTACCTGTGTATTTTAAATACCGTGTACACGGTTTAACACAGACCATTTCACACGGTGTGTTTTCCACCGTGCGCGTGGAATACTCGTCGCCTGTACTGTATACTAGTCAATTAGTCAATATTAAAAATAACATCAATATTCTTAGATCGTCATCCAAAGTTTTATTCTACCATATATCTGTTTTATTCTTTTTTTTTTCATATTTTATTTTTACTTACCTCGCATTGCAAAAAAGCAAATGTCTTATTTTTTATGCATGTTAGCGGGTATATATTTGTTTTATTTATGTGTGTGTGTTTGGGGGGGGGGGGGTCTGGTTGCATTATGATTATATTATATTGTTATATTATTCATTAGCATTTATATCCTTTGTTCGATTAGATAACTGTTCAAAATTACATATAAATAGAAAAAATAGTACACACATCAGCAAATGTACATATGTAATAGAATGGCTGGCTTGTTGAATTTCATGTTTTGTTTTGTTTTATATGTTTTTTTTTTTTTTTTTGTTTTTTTTTTTTTTTTTTGTTTTTTTTTTATTTTTTTTTTATTTTGGTCAGCATAAATAAAAAGAATACCGCACTACTACATGTAGTACATGTAATCCTTATCAATCAATAATTAGTATTAATAAAAGGTAGTTGATAACATATTTTTAGCATTTAAAAGGGAAAGCACTGTGAAAACGGTAATAAAAGGGGGATTCTACCCTTTAATGATAGTTATTTCCGAAAGGGAAACTCTATATTGATTTTGTTCTTGGAGAAAATAATATGTTTTCGCGATTTTTTTTTTCACTTATGGGAAGGGGTCTCACCTGGGCCCGTTTTTTTTTTTTTCGGATGAAACAAATACGATGGTGGAAAGTATATGTTACAATACTGGAGACAATGAACTCAACAAGAGAATTTAATGCATATATTAGCAATATTATTTAATACCAGAATTGAGCTATTGATGCGATGATATTGATTTTCTGACTTAAAGATACCTTGGAGAACGGAGGGTGGACCTTTCAACAATCTGCGTTTTGGGTTTGCCATGACACTTTCTTTAAGTTTCTCTAGGTAGCACACCAGTATTAAAATTTACCATAAATCATTATCAAAATTACAACATTTTAAGTACATGTACATGTACACGCAACTCGTACAAGATATATTTCTGCAGAAATTGTAAAGCAATCCTTACATAACATTTGAGTACCGAAAAGACTGAAAGGCGAGCGAATTTATTGTCATCGAATTCGAACATGTGCTTGAATGCAACATGCGAGACCTGTCACCCTTGCTTTAAATACTACGTAAACATACCAAAAAAAAATATCAAGTATCCTAAAGTCATTAATCTGGTTAAGTCAAAAAGCGAGCATTTTGTTTTTAACCTCATTAAAAACATCAACATTTCAATACTGCGGAAATGAACGAATTCGAAAGAAGTTATTCAGCCATGTTATGAAGTAAACCTGTTAATTTTTAAAGATACAGAAAATAGACATTGTCGATAATTTCTCTTCATCATAGGAATATATTCGAAATACAGAGACCGGCCCTTTTGTTATGCAGCCCTTTGAGATCCGCCCTAAATCATTCACTACTTTTTACGCTTCAGAATAGAATCCTGTCCATAATTTTCGCTTTTTCTCAAGAAGATATCTGGAATACAGAGGGCGGACATTTTATTTTACAGCGTTTTAAGGTCCGCCCTCAAACTTTCTTCAGTGTTTATTGTACGGAAATAAGCCCTGCCAAAATCAAAATTTTCTTTCTGTTACAGAATGACATATGTAATTTTATCCCGCTTCAGACAAAATTGGATAAAAATCACATGGTACCATGAAATTTTCCGTATTACGTCTCCTACCGGTGGTAATATTAAAATCGGGTATTACAAGCAATTTCGTTTCAAAAGTCGTGATTGTAAATAAAAATGTCGACTAAAAACAGTATGATTCTAACTTAGTCATATGTATTGGTTAAATTTCTTGTTATTTGTTTTGATATTATTTTATGTTGATTTTTACTGGATTAAAACTAGATATTTTAATAATATCTTAATAGATTTGTTTTTGAAATATTGAAAAAAAGGTCTTCAGCTGGGATAAATTCGTTACACAGTCAGTTAGGGACCTTATGCGGAATCATACAGGGAGTGAAATGGAAATCCGTATTTGGACTCGGCTTCGCCTTTTCCAACATGGATTTCCATTTTACACCCTGTATGACTCCGCATTTGGTCCCTAACTGACTGTGTAACTATTAGTAGTTCAAGAAAAATTCTCGAATACTGTATGAGGGGGACCTGATATCATGGTGTGTTTTAAGTTTGCCTGATAGTTTCTCTAGAATTTTCACTGCAGATATAGGCAATGATAATAATTATCATTGTATATCAGACAAATATGGGTAGTGAAAAGGACAGACCCTTTGTAGCACTGCGTTGTAAACCAAGGTCTTTAGATGTATACATGTAGATGCATAAATGCATACTGTATGAAAGTAAGGGGTCATGAGGTCAAAACACGTAATTAACAATTTTAACTAAGTCGGTACATCGATTCCGATGACTTCTCATTCAACTAAAGGAATTCATTAAAATTTCAGTTTGAGAGGTTAATATAAATCATACAGTGTGATGTAAAGTGTATAAGAATAAGTAAAGTAAAGCGACATGAAGAGCTAGCTTTCTAGATATTCTGTATCACAATTAACATTATGAAAGACTACATTGTTCTTCATCTCTGTTTCCTATTGTATATCCTTATTTCAATGGAGCAATTCTCAAAGGCAGAAAAGCATATTGTGTAGGAATACATTACAATTATGTAATATTTTTGGAGAAAAAATGAATAAAATAGCGATTTTACGAGATAGATAAAGGATCGTAAGGATGAGTCACAAATTATTTTGAATTTTTCCAGTATTCCTTATCTTTTGGAATTTTGATGATGGAGGGTACTGTATAAATTGACTAGAATTCTTTATTTCCCTTTCTTTTTTACATGCAGTGTATATAATTCAAGTACGTCAATATAGTTAACATTCTTCCGCCTATGTAGATTTCTTCCTTCTTCTAATAAATAAAACTTTACCCTAGAAAAGTGGATGTAATTAGTTCAGGAAATACAGCTTGAGAAAATGCAAATTATGTACTCATCTATTAAGTCATTTCATTTAGGAAAGAGTATGACATACTGGAAAACCTGGAGTAAAGTATATCTACTTTGTGTGTAAAAAATGTCCTAGCAATGTGATCTTTTTCTAAAATTTAATTTGACTGTGACAAAATGACAATTTTAAATATAGCTTGCTAGAAATGTTTCCACTAAGATCATTAGCTATTTTAATTGCAAGTGATCTTAAAATATCAAAATGACAAGTTTCTATTTGTCTTCGGATACAATTTGGAAGTTTCTTTTATACAGTGTATGTCTCATACGGTTTGGGTATGTTTCTGTTTCAAATGTGCCCGGATCGAGCACAGTGAGGCAATCTTTCGTCAGTTAGACGATCCTTTCAATCAGGTTTGTCCTTGAACTAGGATATTAAGGGGGGGGGGGGAGAGTAGGAAATATAGATTTTATATCTTTATTAGCGGAATCATAAAAGAGATGCGCATTTCCAAACTCTTGTCCATTTTAGAGAATAAGTTATTGGAAAGGGATCAATCAAAACCTATAAATCAGGATTTTTAGATAACAATTATCGAAAAAAAGCAATTAACGAGTAATAATAGCTACACGGCAGAAAGAAAACAAGGCACTCGGTTATGATATCTACTGTTTGAACAATTAATTAATTTAAACCTATCTGACAGCAACAAAAAAAATAATTACATCAAAGATAAAAAGTAAATCAAATACAATTATACTAAAAGTCACCATTAAAAAGTGAATCCTGATGTGAAAGAAATAAGACATTTCACACATTTCATACAACAAACAGAAAATAATTTATTTGGAAAACACATGAAACATATTTTAATTTTAAGACATAATCATAAAATTATATTACGCTAAAATATGGGGCTTAACAAGCAACTGAATGAATTTATACAAAGATACAAAAACAATCAAAATTGAGCTGTGACATATATATCAAATGATATTAATTTTCTTTTAATGTGTATTCTACGACATACAATTCTTCAAAATTGTAAGAGGGGCATTGCATAAGCAGTTTTTACTTTCGTGTATCAAGCAAAGGAAAAGATTCAAGACTGCTTGAATTTACATATACATTTTATCGAAATACCTAAAACTAAGACTCACCATATCCATGGGTAAAACCAAATACAAATACGAGAAACAACATCATTCTGCTAAAAAAAAAAAACACCATGCCACAAAGTCCCCTCAATTCTGACAAGCAGGAAGTAGAAATCATTGCCTAGTGGGCATGCAGGAAACTAAAGTTTTATCTCAGATGATGCATACCATATCCATTACTTTTAAGGAGACGGTGTACTAAGAACTTTGGTGCAAAGCTTCCTTTTCTGGGTGATGAATATCAGGCACGAAAATTAAATTGATAAATGTTTAAGTAAACTACTTGCTACTTCAAAATTAAATTTTGGTTGAAAGTAAGGAGCTTATTAAAGCTTTTAAAACTATTGGTATATATTAGTTTCTTTAATCTCAGTCTTGTGGAGCATTATTTGTGATTATATTTTTCATCTACTGTTATCTTGAAAAGCACGCGTATAACTAAAAAAATAGTGAACACGGTTAATAACTTTTGATAGCGTGCTTTTTCCCGTTCGTGTTTTAATGTATCATAGGATATTCTTCCTTTTAATATCAATCAAATATATAAATGCAAGAACAGCGAATCTTGAAATCTTTCTGCATTGGAATAAGTTGCTTATGAATATAAAAATACTTCAATCCTTTTTTTATTCAATTCTAACGCTTTTGACTACAAAACAAACTTGGCTCTACTCGAATATATACACCATCGTTTATAGAGCCAAGCTAATCAAACTTGAGAGGAGCTTAGTCCTAAAGTGTTATATTTTTCCTGACACTTTTCACTATAAGCTGAAAATTCTTATTAAACTCAACCATCCTTAATGATAATCGTTACTTTTGGAAACTGATAATATACTCCTAAAATTCCTAATTAGACAACCTACTAATTGATGTTGACAATGCATTTTACTTGAATTTGGTATATTTATTGTTCCAACCATTTGATTGTCATTAGCCTAATCATTTATCATGCCCCAGAAATCTTGTGAGATTTAGAGTTGAGCTTCCTAGACTTTGCCTCAAAAGAGGGGCGGTAAATTAGATAATTGTTAGGGAATATATTGTTTAAAATTCTCAATATTGAAGTACAAAGGACAAGATAGGCTAAGACCCCTTTTTGGTCCCTGGTTTTGAGTGTCTTTTAGAATGGTGCAACCGTTTATCAATAAAAACCTGTTGTCACCCCTGCCAAAATGAGTATTGGTTTTGAGTTATGGGATACAAAGAGGTAACCAGAAGGTGAGAAAATACGTCAATTTCCGAATTTTCGCATTTTTATGCAAATTTTCATTGCTTTTACAGCACATTTTTTTTTCAGATTACATAGAGCACAAGCTTGCCTATCTTACAAATTTATATATTTTATACACTAGCATCAGATGCATTTGGTGTATAAAAATCTCAGATAGACAAGCATGTGCTCTATGTTTTCCGAAGTGAAAAGTATCTCAAATTTGACAAAATTCCACAAGAATTAAGGAAAATCGGAAAGATGTTCTACTTCTGCACTTCTAGTTCTTAACTACAAATTATCACAGTTTTAACGGTGTTCTAATTTTTACATCAAACAAGGGGCCAGATTCGGCCGTTACTATACCTTGTCCTTTGTATGATTTAAAGCAATTAAATTTACAACGCCCAAAAATGTACACGGAATCATTTTAAAAAAGTTAAATTAATGATAATTGATAGTTTTGAATTTTAAACCATGTTTCCATTTCAGGATTGGTGTCAAGGTTAGCAATAAATTAAGTTGAAATAAAGATTAGAGATTTTTTTAATGAATATTGACAA